CAATTTTAGCTAACAACAGGGTTAACACCATGCCCCTTTCTCTCCACAGTCTTGTACTTCTCCAAACCTTTAATTCACAATACGAACCGTAGAGGTTTCCAACTTTTGCCATGAACGTTGTTCAGCTTTGTATTTATTAGACCGAATGTGTTTGCTTTAATATTTAGCCACGCGTATAACATATTTTCTATTTGCAATGTTGAGAATTTTTACCCATGAATAACCCTTACCCCCTTATAAGTTACTCTTCCATAGAAAATCCCCCCATACTACTAGCACCATATCGTTCTGCTCTTCTCTTGAATCATGTTTGTAGCTCTTGAATGGCACATAATTCCCGGTTTTTCCCGACAGCTTGAGGCAACACATCGTGTGACAAGATTTAATTTCCATCGAATTACGAGTTAAAAGAATCCAATCCAAACATGGTAGGAATTTAGGTTAAAAGTATATTTCATTCCCAGAAGGGGACCCGAGGCGGTCAGAAACTTCCGCTTCATAAATAGAATTAAGTGGCCGTGACTTTTAAGAATTAAATGCTTACATGAGTGAAAGTTTGCACGATTTATTTTCCTAATTACGAATTCATAAGCGTTGGGAAGAGCTGATAGGAGACGCGGAAAAGAAGAGAAACAAGGAGACCTTCGCTGAGTTGATTGATGTCTTCGGAAGTTTTCTTTCGGGGGAGACCCGTGCATCGGTTGACCATGTGGCTAAGGAATTCATGACGTCAGGCGTTGGAGAGCTGAGCGGTGTATAGCAGAGCAGGGAAATGCAGATTGAGTGCGCCCGTTCTTGTCTAAAATACTGAAATTAAGATGATTTAAGAAAAGTTGGTTAGATTTTAAGGATTAGAATTTTAACAATATAGTGAACTTTGATATTACATTTAACATGAGACGGTCCTTTTCAGGGCTGGGATCGAAGGATCCAAAGTATGAAGAAAATTTGGCTGTGGGAGGAAACGAGAGTACCCCGAGAAAACCCACTTTCACGACCAGGGCGTCGAATAAAATACCCTGACCGTGTCCAGAAAGAGCTGTGGAAAAATATCTAGTATTAGATTACTTGGCTTGAATTCCATACAGATGTGTGGCTGCAGGTAGTGATCGAAGGCTAGAACAGGTTGGATGGGTTAGGAGGTGATGTGAAGCTGTGTACATCGAAGGAACGGCGATGGTGCTAGGTGATGTGGAGGCTTCCGTTTGTAGGGTATCTGAAGTTTCCTGTCTTGAAGTGGATCTTGTCAATCTTCTGGAGTCGGTATCGTGATGGTCTTCATTTTGGATCCTTCGGTACTTTTGGCGATTCTGGTCTGTGTTTCTTGGTGGATTAGAAAGTGGCTGTCAGTAGAAGTAGAGGTGTCGCACATGGTTGATAGAGGTGACATGGTTTGTGTCTGCTATGACGTTATCTGGAGGTTGCTTGTTTGAGTGCTGTTGTTCGTTTTCAAGGTTGCTTTACTGGTGATGGTTGGCGGTTCCTTCTCAAGAGTGGATGTAGCAGCAAGAACAGGATAGAATCGATTGTGATGTATAACGGGCTTGGAAGATCTGGTTGTGGTGTCGCTGTTTCTTGTGATTGGGCTTCTTATTGGTCTTTCGGCTGTAAAGTGGAAGAATAAGTAAGATAGACCGAGAGTTAGAAGGTGTTGTTCTGTGGTTTTGTAATTAGTGACTATTTTGATGTAGACCCCGAGTTAGAAGGTGTTGTTCTGTGGTTTTGTAATTAGTGACTATTTTGATGTAGACCCCGAGTTAGAAGGTGTTGTTCTGTGGTTTTGTAATTAGTGACTATTTTGATGTA